AATCAGGTTTTTTTTAATGGTTATGGTACTGTCTAGATTCTCTGCATTTTGTATGTCAGTTTTGATAATTTGTGTTTTTCAAGGGACTTAGCCATTTTATCTTTTTCATAAAGTTGTTCCTAATATTCCATTATCTCTTGTATATATAATCTAATGTATATGATATATAGTGATGCATTTTTCATTTCTGATATTGAGAATATTTGTTTCTTTTTCTTGGCCAGACTAGCTAGAGGTTTATCAATTTTATTGATATTTTCAAAGAACCAGCTTTTAGTTCAATTGTTTTTTCCTGTTGTTTATCCATTTTCTATTTTGTTGATTTTTTGCTCTTTTATTATTTCCTTCCTTCTGTGTGCTTGAGTTTAGTTTATTCTTTTCTGGCTTCTTCTGGTAGAAGGTTATATAATTGATTTTGGATATTTTTCTTCTCTAAGCATTAAAGCTGTAATTTTCCCTTGAAGCATTACTCTAGCAAATCCTATAAGTTTAGATAGATTGTATTTTCATTTTCATTCTGTTAATAATACTTTCTAATTTCTCTTGTGATTTCTTTCTCAATAGATGGGTTATTAAAGAAGTTCATTGTTCACGGGGCACCTGGCTGGCTCAGTAGGTAGAGCATGCGACTCTTGATCTCGGGGGTTGTGATTTTGAGCCCCACGTTGGATTTAAAAAAAATAGAAGTTTACTGCTTAGTTCCCAAGTATTTGGAAATTTTGTAGATATCCTATTGTTAGGATTTTTAGTTTCATTCCGGTGTGGTCAGATAACGTGCTCTCTGAATTCAGTCTTTTAACATTCATTGAGACTTGTTATATTGCCCAACTTATGGAACCTTGATGAAAATGTTCCAGGGGCACTTAAAAAGAATGTTTATTCTGCAATTGTTAGATGATCTAATTAGGTCAAGTTGGTTAATAGTTTAATCTTTTATGTTCTACATATTTTTTTTTTTTTATCTCTTTGCTTTTTCCATCCTGAGGGAAGGAAGTTGAGACCACCAATTATAATGATGGACTTGTCTATTTCTCTTAACTCTGTAGATTTTTGCTTCATGTCTTTTGAAACTTTGTTATTAGGTGTATATATTTATCATTGTTGTGCCTTCTACAGGAATCAACCCCATTATTAGGAAATGTCCTTTTTTATCCCTGGTAATATTCTTTGTCCTGAAGCCTTCTTTGCCTGCCAGTAATGATGCAGCTTTTTCCAGTGTTTAATTTTTAACCTGTGTCTTTATATTTGAAGTGCAGTTCTTGTAGACAGCAGATAGTTGGATCTTATTCATTTTGACAATTTTTGCCTTTTACTTGGAGTACTTGAACCATTTGTACTTAGTATAGTTACATGTTTGGGTGTAAGTTTTTTGTTTTGTTACTTGTTTTCTCTTTGTCCCATCTGTTGGTTGTTGTTTTGTTGTTTAGCTTTTCCTGACTTGTGGATTATTTGAGTATTTTTTTATGATTTGAATTGATTTCCACTATTGATTTATGAGCTATACTTTTTTTTAAGGAGTGCTTTAGAGCAGTTCATCTTAGTTTGGACAAACCATTACAAAACACTTTTTTTTTTCTTCAAGTTCTGTTGTTCTAAGTATTTGCTTCACCAAATGTGGGGCTTGAACTCACAACGCCGCGATCAAGAGTCACATGCTCTTCCAACTGAGTCAGTCAGGCGCCCCTATTACAAAATACTTTAGACTGGATGGTGTAGACAACAGATTGGTTTCTCACAACTCCAGAGGTTGGGAAACCCAAGATTGAGGTGTCAGCAGATTCATTTCTGGGTGAGGGCTGTGTTTCTGGCTTGCAGCTACCATCTCACCATGTGCCCACATGACCTCTTCTTTGTATATGGGAAGAGAGAGCTCTGGTGTCTCTCTCCTTTTTTTTTTTTTTTTTATGTCTGTTTATTTTGAGAGAGAGAGAGAGAGAGAGCGCATGTGTGTGCGTGCAAGCTGGGGGGGGGGGACAGAGAGAGAGGGAGAGAAACCCAAGCAGACTCTGTGCTGACACCCCTGCTGCCATGCCCAAATGACTGAGCCACCCAGGTGCCCCAAGGTGTCTCTTCTTCTAAGGGCATGAATTCCAATGTGGGGGCTCCACCTTCATGGCCTTATTAAAACAAATTACCTCCAAAGGCCCCACCTTCTAATGTCATCACATTGGGGGTTTGGGCTTCAACATATGAATTTGGGGAGGTGGGACACAAATAGTCTAAAACATGGTGGTTCTCTTCTTGTTTTTTTATAATTTATTTTTTATTTCTTCATTTTATTTATTTTGAGAAACAGAGACAGAGCACAAGTAGGGGAGGGGCAGAGAGAGGGAGAGAATCCCAAGCGGGCTCTGCACTATCATTGCAGAGCCCTATGAGGGATTCGATCCCACAAACCTTGAGATTGTGACTTCAGCCAAAATCGAGAGTCAGATGCTTAACTAACTGAGCCACCCAGGAGCCCCCTCTCTCTTTTTTAATTGAAGTATGGTTGATACACAATGTTATATTAATGTTTTAGGTGTACAGCACAGCAATTGGACAAGTCTCCATGTTATGCTGTACTCACCATTGAATGTTTTGATCTTAGAATACTTTTCTTTGATTTTTTAATGTTTAGCGTGCACAAGCGCGACGGGGGGGTGGGGGGCAGAGAGAGGAGGGGACAGAGGATCTGAAGCGGGCTCCTGCAGGGCTCTAACTCAGTGAACTGCGAGATCATGACCTGAGCAGAAGTCAGATGCATAACTGACTGAGCCACCTAAGTGCCCGTCACTTTATTTATTTTTTGAGAAAAGATTTACTCGGTTCCAAAGTTTGAATAACCAGTTTGTCATTTGGCCTTTCAAGTAAAAATGATGTTCCGAGAAAAAAGTGGCTAGTTCAACTCACAGCTCAAACAGTTGCACAAGTGGTGACAGCCAGTACTCCAGTATGTGGCAGAAGTACTTTTTGCCTACTTCCCATGTTGTTCCACAGAATATTTAAAATTTTTTATAAAGAATATGGAGTTGTTTTGGCAGGTTGTTGATTGATTGACTTGCAAATCAGCTGATCCCTTGGAGATTGGAATGGGTCCAGAATAGCTTTTACTTTGGGTCTAGTTTAGTCCTGTTTCTGAAGCATGACCTTTCTGGGGTTTCTACTGAAAGCAGCAGGTGTTTATTGAGTTTTCTCCACTCAGGCTGGTGAGAGCTCAGCTGTGTTCTAGCCTGTGTGAGCTCCACTCATTTTTCAGTTTATAGCTAATACTTAATCTTTGCCTGGCCATGTGGAGTCTCATTTTGTGTATCCATAACTTAGAAGTCAGCCAGAGACTCCTGGGAACCCCTGTGTGGGTTATTGAGGCTCTAACTCTGTGTAGCTTGTCTTTTCTGGCATTCTGCATCCACGAAATCCAACTAAGTTGCCTCCCTGAACTCTGTGCTCAGTAGGACTGCCACGTTCTTCTTGGGTTCCCTCTCCACGCTGTGATCCAAGAGTGCCTCCATGCAGAAAGCCAGGAGGATTGTAGTGTTCCCCTCATTCGTTTCTCTTTTTTCAGGGACCACAGTCTTGCTCTGCCTGTTGTCCAGTATTTGAAAGGTTTATGTATTTTTGTCCAGTTTTTTCGTTGGTGGTGCTGTTTATTTCAGCATGGGCAAGAGCAGAGGTCAGAGAACCAGTATTCACTGCTGTTGGTTTTTTTCTGATGATTACCTTTATTTATTTTTTTAAATTTCTTAAACGGATTTTTTACTTTTTTATTTATAAGTAGGCTTCAGGGCCAATGTGGGGCTCAAACTCACGACCCTGAGATCAAGAGTTGCATGTTCCACCGACTGAGCCAGCCAGGGATCCCTCTGATGGTTACCTTTAAATGGTGGCTTTTTAAAAACAAACTAAAAACCTGATTGGTGGTCTGTTTTTTGTAGATACTATTTTCATAATTGCTAATAGAGACATGAGATTTATTTATTTATTTATTTATTTAGTTTTTTCAACGTTTATTTATTTTTGGGACAGAGAGAGACAGAGCATGAACGGGGGAGGGGCAGAGAGAGAGGGAGACACAGAATCGGAAACAGGCTTCAGGCTCTGAGCCATCAGCCCAGAGCCCGACGCGGGGCTCGAACCCATGGACCGCGAGATCGTGACCTGGCTGAAGTCGGACGCTTAACCGACTGCGCCACCCAGGCGCCCCAGAGACATGAGATTTAAAATCCAAACGGTTTTGGGTGCTTAGGTGGCTCAGTCAGTTGAGCGTCCGACTCTTGATCTTAGCTTAGGTCTTGATCTCAGGATTGTGAATTCAAGTCCCCCATTGGGCTCTGTCTGGGCGTGAAGCTTACTTAAAAAAAAAAAATGCAAAAGATATAAAAATTGGATTCAGTGTGAGGTCTGCCTCCCACCTACGGCCCTACTCGCCAGTTCTCTCAAAAGAGGCAACCAATGTTACATACACATCTCTTTAAGGCTGCATAATATTATTTTAAAGATTTCCCATACTTACCTAATTATTATTTTTTTTATTTTTCCATTTATTTACTTATTTTTGAGAGACAGAGAGGGAAGTGGGGGATGGGCAGAGAGAGAAGGAGACACAGAATCCGAAGCAGGCTCCAGGCTATCAGCACAGAGCCCGACACAGGGCTCGAACTCACAAACCGTGAGATCACGACCTGAGCTGAAGTCAGACGCGCACTCAGGCGCCCCTCTAATTGTCTATTAATGGGCCCTATAGGCAAATTAATGTGCTGTTCTGAATAATGAGCACAAATGTGATGCCTGTATTTTGGATGCAGTAATTGTATTCTTGTTAAGCCAAGTATTGCACTTTTATGCTTTTATGATTTTATCCAAGTGATAAAACTTTATTAGATTTTCAGATGACATGCTCCAAAAAGTCTCTTTAATAATGTTATCTGTGGTTTATTACAAATACCAAACTGTAAAAATATGTCAGATTTGGTCATAATTTGAATGTAGATCTCATTCTGTGTTTACTCTTTCAGGCCATAATGCAACAGGGAGACACTTCCATAAAACCTGTCCTCCAGGTCATTGTGAGTACCTGTGTATGTTTTATGTCAAGCATTTTAAAAACTTCTATGTAATTATACATTATGTTTGATGAAGCACGTGTCAATTTCATGTCCATTTTAGGAAATTCTCTCCCTCATCACAAAAAATAGGCCTGTTCTGTAGTAACTGCAGGAGAGCAGCTAGGGCTGGGTTTTTTTCTTCTTCAATATAAGTTAGCCAGAGTTAGACTTGGGGGTTTAGATTTGAGCCTTCGCCTTTCTATTCTTGCCATAATTGATGGAGGCTATAGTGCTACACATCATTAGTATTGCCTCCTTACTTTTTTCTTCCTGCCCTGAGGTTTGTCTTTCTTAAATCTGCCTTATATGGGCCTACAATGAATGTGTCTGCTTAAAATTCTTCATTAACCCTATCATTCATTTAAAATTAAAAAAAAATCTTTTTTTAATGTTTGTTTATTTTTGAAAGAGAGAGACAGCGTGTGAGTGGTGGGGGAGGGGCAGAGAGAGAGGGAGACAGAATCTGAAGCAGGCTCCAGGCTCTGAGCTGTCAGCACAGAGCCCGACGCGGGGCTCAGCCATGAGATCATGACCTGAGCCAAAGTCGGACACTCAACCAACTGAGCCACCCAGGCGCCCCCATTTAAGGGTTTTCCAAATTTTTTTTTTAAGTTTATCTATTTATTTTTGAGAGAGGGAGACAGAATGAGCAGGGGAGGGGCAGAGAGAGAGGGAGAGAATCCCAAGCAAGCTGCGCACTCTCAGCATGGAGCCCGATGCAGGGCTTGAATCCACAAACTGTGAGATCATGACCTGAGCCAAAGCCAAGAGTTGGATGCTTGACCAACTGAGCCACCCAAGTACTCCAAAGGTGTTTCAAATTTTAGTGGGAACTTAAAAAATGAATAGAAGCAGGATCCTGGATCATTCTGTGGATTCTGAGTCAGTAGGCCTGGTGATCTCCTTGTGACTCCCAGACTCGCTGCTGGTCATCATAAGGCTCCGTTTCTGTATTTCACTTCCTGTGGAGAGCAGCTTCTGATTTCCTGTAAGTTGTGATAAATGCCTTGGCTGTGCCCCCATGTCATGTGCACACATCTCTTATATCTCTTTGCCTTTGTCTCCACCACACTTGTAAGCCCCTTCAGGGCAAGGATTTTTTGTTTTTTTTGTTTTGTATTTTTAACATGTTTTCTACATAGCACCTTGCATTGTTAGGTGCCTTATCATTCTTTTTTTTTTTTTTTTAATTGATTTTCAATTAAATTTGAGCTGGGGAGAGAGAACACGAGTATTGGCAACTCATTTTATTCTCATCTGTGTTGTGCTTAATAATGTTAGAGAGAAGCTGGTGGGAAAATCGTCATATCCAAGTTTCTTTTGCTTGGACGTAGGTGTCAGGAGAATGGGCAAGCAGTTCAGTGTTTGCTGAAATAATGACAGACCCACTCTGCTGCCACTTAGAAGTAATTATCTCTGGGGACTGGGGAGACAGTCTGTCTAATGAATCATGTTTTCTATCTTAGAACATCCGTCCCATCACTACAGGGAATAGTCCACCCCGTTATCGACTGCTTATGAGTGATGGATTGAACACTCTCTCCTGTGAGTATGATGTATAAATCCAGGAATTTGTATTCAAATAATAAAAGCACATCCAGCACTTTGGTTGCAATAATTTGGGGCATTTCAGAAGTGTACATTTGCCTGACCGTGCACTTCATTCAGACAGAATTGCAGCCGGCAGAGAGCATTCTAACAATAGACTGGATCTAGTGGAAAGCTGCCACTTGGCTTAATTAATTTTCTCTAACTGGTGCGCTGTTTTCTTTGATTAATTTCCCTCAGGATGATATTGACATTTAGTGAATATAATGGGTTAGCTGTCCTATACTTGCCTTTTTAGGCTTTTATTTCAGTGTTGGAAACTTCACAAGCAAGAAAGACAGTTTTCAGAATATGTGCTTGCTATCTCTAGTCACAAGGTGAAGAACGTAGAAAAGATTTTTTTAGTCTTCATCATGAAACCTGAATGATGGAAAAAATGATTCTGGGCAATTTAAGAAATTCTTACATTTCAGAGTAGCAGCAGATGTTTAATGCATAGTAAATCATACTGTTTTTCACTGTGCAGAATCTGAATAGTTTTAGTTTCAGAAACATTCAAGGCATTGTTTTTCTTTGCTAGTCCACGTGTGATCAGTGCTAGTTCAGATTGTTATGACTGAAATGTTGTGGGAACTAAAGAAATCTTTGTGCTTTTCAGCTTTCATGTTGGCAACACAGTTGAACCATCTTGTTGAGGGAGAACAATTGTCTAGCAACTGTATTTGCCAGATTAACCGATTTATTGTTAACACTCTGAAAGATGGAAGGTATGTGGTGGGTTATTTTTGCTTTTTAGAGTTTTCTTTGGTTTTATTGTGTTTTGGAATGGGGACTAATTTTTGAACAGAGAAGTCCTTTGGATACCAAAATTCACTTAGGAATTTCAAAAAGACAATGATGAGCTTCCAGCTAAGAGTTTACAGCTATTGAGATTTGAACTCGGGTGACTAAAACATGGCACCAAAGGGAGAGAAATATGGAAACAAATTGGAAATTTCAAAGCAGGAGATTAAAGCCAAACACAGAACTCTTATTTCTAATCTCTTCAGAAGCCCTGTTTTTAGCATTCTCTTTTAAAGCATCTTTTAATGAAAAGGGGTCACTTATAAAGAGCAAAAGAGCTGTATTTAATTATGTAACACTGCTCCTTTTCTACAACCTTGAATCTTTCATCGTAAATTATTCAGCCAATACAGAGCATGGTGAGGACTTACAGATGCTACACGCTAGAGGTGCAGCGGTGAGCACACTGTTAACCGTTGCTAAAATAGGACCTTTTTGTTGGGGAGAGGCTTTTAAGGTCTTTATTTTCAGTCACAGAACACATGAGAAACAAATATGGCAAGCATTCCCATCTTAAGGGTATGTCAGTGTATGTTACAATAGTATTATCTGTACATTTCCAAGTAACTTTTGCTTTATATTTGTTTGCTATATCATTGTCCTTCTTTTAACTTTCAACTTCTGTTCTTAATCTTGGGTGTCTTTTATAAATAGTGTATACTTTTATTTATTTACTTTTTAATTTTTATTAAAAAATATTAAATGTTTTATTATTTTGAGAGAGAGAGAGAGTATGCACAAGCAGGGGAGGGGCAGGGAGAAGGAGAGACAGAATCCCAAGCAGGCTCTGTGCCATCAGCACAGAGCCTGATGTGGGGCTCGAATTCATGAACTGTGAGATCATGACTGCGCCGAGATCAAGAGTCAGACACTTAACCGACTGCACCACCCAGGCGCCCCAGCAGCATATAGTTTTAGAAATCATTTAAAAAAAAATTTTTTTTTAATGTTTTATTTATTTTTGAGACAGAGAGAGACAGAGCATGAACGGGGAGGGTCAGAGAGAGAGGGAGACACAGAATCTGAAACAGGCTCCAGGCTCTGAGCTGTCAGCACAGAGCCCAACATGGGGCTCGAACTCACGGACCGTGAGATCATGACCTGAGCCGAAGTCAGACGCTCAACCGACTGAGCCACCCAGGCGCCCCTAGAAATCATTTTGAGATTTAGTTGGTGAGTTTATTCTGCTTAACTTATTATTGATTTTTTCTAATTTTTGTGTTTTCACCATGTTTTTTGATTTATTTTTTTCTTGCCTTGGATTGATTGGATTTTTCCTTAATCCTCTTTTTTGCCTCTGCTGGTTTGAGAGACATTCTATTTGTGCTGTGTTTTTGTTTGTTTGGTTTGTTTGTTTTTTGTGGGTACTCTCACATTTAAAAAAAATCCTGGGGGCACCTGGGTGGCTCAGTCAGTTGAGTGTCCGACTTCAGTT